GCAGAAGTATTTAACGCCGCGATGAACTAGTGTTTTGACCAAAGAGATAACAGTGCTATCTCCACACCGATGCCGAAGTAAAGAAGACTACCAAAATGGTGCACTCGCATAAACGACAACGAGCTGAAGTTGCCATCCCGTTAATTCCCAAACGCTAGAAGTAACGAAAGACAAACGCAGTTTGCACTCAAAAGTCTCAAGTATTGCCACTTTCGTCAAAAAAGGTAATGAATTCCTCAAAAAAAAACACTTCTGTAACTTCGTTCGATACCCTGAATGCCAGAGGAGGAGACGCAGAAACAAGTTGCACTCAGGCGAGTTACGTGACTACTTATGCCAAGGAAATTGGTCGTTTTGTAAACGACTATACGCTTTTTTTCAGAAAAGCCAAGAAGCAGCCGTTGATTGTAGCTGATGATAATGAAAGTGTGGGTCAATGGCCCTCCTGTGCAAATTTATTCGTGTTAAGAAGTTCAGGTAGTGCGAAAAACGTTTGGTATGAGAGTGGATAGCCGAAGTTGCAGGAAAGCTAAATATGACAGCCTTGCGTTCTGTCATTCATGCCTAAGCCCTTAGTGGAGTAACCTAACTGAACGCACTAGAACACGAAGCACGTTACGGTACACGGCAGCAGCGCGACAACTCTTACGCGTTTAAAACGAAATCCCGAAGATTGACAATCCCCAACCCTGTCCTTACTTGATTTTGTCACCTTCAAGCAAATTGTCTGTAATGGTAATCCCAGAAACTTCCGCTTAAGATCCCCATGGAGAAACAATTCAGAGAAGAGTAAACCACTGTACACATGTTAGTCTTTCTTTACCTCAGAACAAAAGGACTACTAAAAAGGCCACCAAAATAATTGCTTTTATAACTGACTGAATCCAGTCACAAATATGCGATTTGGCTTAATCTTGATGCAGTTGATGCGCATGATAATAAGGACAAATCAGGTGTGGAAAATCCCAAGGGGCGGGATGATTGCCCCAGTAAGCTGCTTAAAGTTGTTTACCACTGAATGAAAATTGCGGGAATTTACGGTAACAAAGGAGAGGACAACTTTCGCAGACTAGTAGCGGTAGCTATAAAAAGACATTAAATTCACTTAAGCGGCGTGCGTAGCCCTAGAATCGCATTATCTCTTGGCGAAAACAGCGTCAATTTTGTTGGAAATACTTAAAGAATGGCACAAGGATGTGCACTACATCTGCTGGTTTGTATGGCTTGGGTAGTTTAGCATCACACTTCCGAGCACGCAGTCTTCTACATTTTAAATAATTTCCAATTTTTTTTTTCGCATAAAAGATTAAATTATCAAAAGTAGTCTGGATGCATCTTTATCCCCCTAGATAATATTGCCGAAGAGGAAGAGTTCCAAGTAGAGTTAAGAAACGGAGCCACCATAAGAGAGACACAAGGCTAACCAAAGACAGGAACTGAGCCCGTTAGCTTATTAAAGTACTAACCTGGCATTGGAATTAACTGTATAATTATTTTCCTCATCAATAAGACTGTTAACCACACAGGTGATCTTTTCATAGGGCACCCGTGAGGCCAACTTGAGTAGCGAACTGGGCCCCTCCTCCGCTGGGTAGACGGGGAAAGCGCGGACGGTAAGCCAAGAAACGCCCTCCTCCTGCGTACTGTTAACATAAAACGGTGGCTGCGGAATCGAACGAAAATCGTCGCCCCGAAACCATGCCGCTATTTGCACCGGTCGACCAGCAGACTGTCCACCATGGATGGGGCGATAGAGGCAGGCTAGACGGGCCGGATAGCCTTCAATGAGACGCGGCTGTGGCTCCGCTAGCAAAGCCATTCGATCGCGGTGGGAGGAGCGCTCTCGCTCCATCCCTAGGCTGCCATAGACTGCGGAGTAGTCCACCCCACCCCCACCGCCGCCAAAACCGCCGTTACGAGCCTCTTGGTCGTAAAAAAGCGGTTCTGTAGAAGAGTTGTGCAGCTTCACCTTGACGTTAATTGGTTCATAGAGAGTCCAATGGATTTCATAGTAGGATGGGTGCCCCTTCTGCAAAGTTGGGCCGGAGAAAAGGTGCTATTTAACGCTTGAAAACAAACTTCATGAAATAAAAATGCGATTTTTAAGAAGATAACACATTCAGTCCTTCGCTTACACAAGCTGAATTTATAACCCTGCGAAAATAATACAGAAGCTTTGGATAAGATTACGGCGTCAATAGTTAGTGTAGACATCCAAATTTCTTTGAAATTATGCCATTTAATTAACACGCTCACTACCAGAAATATGTCTGGGTGAAGAAATGACTATTATGCCCCAGGTATTTGACTGCCATTAATTATTTTCACCAATTCAAAATCTTCTCATAAACTGAAAAAGTAATTATCCTTAGACTGAGATTCGACAGCTCTTTTATAATTCCACATGCAGCCATGTTCTGAAAACAGATCAAGTGCAACGGCTTGTCATAAGTTATTTTGAGCGATCGGATATGCATACTGTGCCACTATACTAACTCATACACAGTAAATTAGTCTAAACGAGGATAAAAGTTAACGCAAAGGGAATGACTAAAAATTTCCCAGTTATTTTAACCACAAAAGTTTAGCAAATTTTATAGACATCAACGAAGACAATAACTAGTGCAAGAGCCAGCATGGAGTAAAATTTTCAACTAATTGTCCACAAATGAAAAAAATGATAGCATAAGAAACCGACTTAACAGAATAGGATACCTGGAAGATTAAACAATGCTCATTCATTTTAAAAATAGCCTTACTCTAGACGTCTTTTGTAGTTTATAAATCAATTTCCTAGTATCTGACCTTATTATGCCAAAGGTCCTGCATCTCAAACTTGCACCAGAGTTTATTCGGTGCTTCGGGCGAAAATGGATCGAGGATGCGAACCCAGGATAAGTTAGGGCCAATCTCCACATTGTCATTGGAAAATATGCCAGATTCGTTAAAAGAAACGGTCCTACTTGGAATCGCATCTCTGGGTAATACGGCTGCAAGATCTGAATCCGGTGGAATTGGTTCACGCCACTCCCATGCGAGAACGCGCTGGGCTGATGTCAAAGGGCAGTATAAAATAACCTGAGATAATCAAGGGTATCTGCATTTAGTACAAATGCAATGCGCTAAAGACAAGTTTTATTTTAATAAAACCCAGCTCACCTCATTTGCACGATCGGAAGGAAACATTTTGAAAAACTTGATCATTCCAGCAGCAAGTGGAACGGCGGGAAGCCCACTTGAACGGTTGATGGCAAAATGTTCTACGGGGTGAACGCTGAGAAACACATCTTGCGAATTCGCTTCACCATGGCACCTATAGGTTCCGGTATCTGAAAGGCTTGCGTTATCAATTCGTAGAATTAGTCGGCCTCGATCGTCCTGCATCGAATACACGGATGTTGGAGCATTAAATTTGCTAGACAAATGATAACTTGGTCGAAGCGGACTCAAATTATATACGGATGTGACTTCCTTCCTCAAATTCACTGAGATTGGATGAGGGCCAACTTCTCGTCCAGAATTTTTTTGGTCACTTTCATAAGTCCATCTAATTCCACCATTGCAAACAAAATACGCATCGTGTCCCACAATTACAGAAACATTCGGTGCAGATTCCAGGAATATGTACCTTTTTGGAATTTGGGAACAAACATATGAGACAAGGAGGGAGTTCGTCACACAAAGCAGAAGCACCGCTATTAGGCGCCGCCCCATCTGAAAATAATGAAGATATGCTGTTTGAAGACCCGGCGCTTCACAATGCATGGAAAATGGTCAGTATAAACAAATTAAAAGGAGGGTAAGCTGTCTCCCATTTACCAGTCTGAATAGCCTAATTTAATAAAATGCATTAAATATGCTTAAGTGATGAACCAATTTTTATGCGAAGAAACCTGATTCTGACTAGCGCTACTAAGCACAATATTATGCAATTTTAATTGCCTCAAATATTACGAATGCCTATTTTAGTGTTTTCGAAATCGCATTTTCAAGCTGTTAAGAAAAAAGTTTTTATTTTTCTTCTGAGCTAAAAATTTTGCTTTACAAACCAGCCTCGAATGCATAGTAAGCCATGTCAACTTTGAAGGAATTAATTATTAATGCACAGAATAGCTGAGAGGAGGGGTAGGGGGTGTTATAGCACTTGATCTAACTGGGTTTCAAATGCACCGGCCCTTTATTTTCCCAGCTGTTGATGTGACTGCAGAGCCATGGCAATAGCCCCCACCTCCGTATACTGGAAATCTACCTTTAAAATGTCATGACTTACCAAGACTTTTGAAAAGACTTAGAACATGACAGCAGTGGAAGGGGCAGACAGATCGGATCCCAAACAAAAAAATGCCCCTCTCAGTCTGGTCGATTACTAGCCCCCACCTTCGCAGAGGGTGGGTATCAATTTGGGAGGGCTGAGAATGCCAAGCTTTTGGTGGAAGTGTTTGCTAAGCTCTCCAATCTAATGTGCTGTAAAAAAGTTTACCTAAAGCCTAGCCTATTTTAGGATCTTTTGATTTGGAAAAGCAATTGATTGGTTTGTTCTCTTTTCCTCTATTGTTTGAATGAAATCCAGCTGGATGAATAAAGAGTGCCTAAATGCAAGCCCAAAACTAAGAACGAATAGCAGCCCTGTAAAGCCACCCCAAATACAATGTTTTATAAAATAGGTCTGCTTTTAAACAAGTGATACTACAAATAACGATCGAGATACAAACTACACTTGTTGTCTACCATTGTCTTGCCTTGATCGAAAACATCCCAGTAACTGGCAAATTGTTTAAATTCAAAGTTCTCCTTTACATTGATATGGTTTAAAGAGGACTTGAGGTACAATACCTAGGAGTAAATTAAATGATGAATTACGAGTAGACAAAGTGCTTAAGTGCCGCAGAATTTCCGACAGGTATTATGCGTAGACTATTTATATCCTTTTATCCAATGTTTCCCAAAACAACTAACTTGTGGTAAACCAGTAACTTATGGTGATTATGTCAGCAATCACCCCTTTTCAAAGACATTCAGATTAGTCAAGTAAATTTTGCCTGAGAAGAGGCCTTCAATTCTTTCACATCTGTGGGGATTCATGAACCCAGGTCCTTTGAAAACTTACGCTTCTCGTTTTAACACATTAATTTTTTATTTTACAGAACCGTTTTGGCGCAAACAATTGACTTTTTTCAAGGGATGGTATAAGACAGAGCGTGGTACTTGTAATAAAAATCTCATCCGTTGTTTGATGGCTTCAAAGTCGCAGAAATACCTTACGACGGGTACGGAAATAAGTACTACTTTTAATCTTCGGTCTTATCATTACAACACAAAGTTTATTTTAAATTTTAGAAGTTACCAAGTTAGACCGATTTCTACTTATTAAAAATTAGCCAAACTTTTGGGCGCATTCAATTGTACCTGGAACCCACCTCTTCCAATTAACAGAAGTGTGATTGGCCACCTTCTTCCTCGTTGTAAAATCTGTCTTCGCTTTCATCAACAACTTCCGTGGCACTTTATATCTTGCAAGGCAACAGAGGTGTCAGGTTGTCATCACCTTCGGCGTCGCCATCTTTAGCATTCTGCCGAAGTGGTGTTCTGGCCAATCTCATGTCCGGATTTTACGACACTTTAGAGCCAAGGTTAACCTTCGTGAAGGCACCGGAGTGAATTTGAGATGGTCTATGACCAAGTAGTGTCCCTAAAATATTAGCAGGGCTTTTCTTGTCATCGTAGCACATCTTAATGGTAAAGATGTTGGATTGTCTGGAAGAATGGCAGATAATCTTCAAGTGTTGTCACGTTAAATTTGACAGCGATTATGAAGTTTAGATTTTTTCCTCAGTGCGATAGGTAGGCAAAGCCAAATCCATCCTGGCCATATGCACATGAAGTATTATCATTGAAGCGATCCTCTCTTTGGTTAGTCTCAGTCTCCGTTAGTTTTCATAGGTAGAAATTTTTGTGGTCTTCGCCTGATGCACTTCGCTGTGATTAGGAAAATTTTGCATTAGGTATTTCCCAATCGACAAGTAGATAAGTCAGCAATATTTTGTTAAGTTTAAATGCAAACTAATAGGTAAAGTTTGTTGAGCTTTTTATTTTAAGCATATAAACAAAGCACCGACTCAGGTGACTTGTCAGCATAAGTCGACTTGTCTACTGGTTACTCAAGTAATCCGGGTGTCACGTGTCAGTTCGAATGATGCGACAAAGCGTAGACGGGAGACCAGGTTACCAATCAAGACACAAGAACCGCTCATGAAGAAGCTCGATTTCATTCAGGAGGTGTCATAGGTTCGCGTTGTCGGTGAAGGTCCGTTTGTGGTGCAATGCAAGGGCACTTCGCCGCAGGAATACCTTCTAGCAACCCATGCCGAAGCATTTACCGGCACGCAATGTACAGTGAGTTGACCATTAAGGATATTTTAAAAATTTTCAGTGGTGGCTATAAGCCCACCTATTAACCCGATTTTGTGTCTGTTGCTTAGGCTAAAGGAACCGGACAATGCAGAACACTTGCAGTTCCCATGATTACACGCCTTCAGGAGGTGAGGAGCCAGCCACTAAACTGCCCCTTCAACATTACACTTCTCAATTTCAAATTTTCTGGGGATATTTGGGGTGATTTACCGAAATCCCATGCCATCGCTCCTCCTGTCCCTAAGATGTCCACATTAGAATGTGAGGACTCTATTCAGTAAAACCATCTTACCACATCTGACCACCGTGAAATGCTTCCAGAGTGTTAGAATAAGGAGGCTCCTAGAAACTTGTTAAACATCAAAATGAGGGCATTTTTCTGCGGGTGAGGGGAACCTTTAAATGCTTTGTTACAAGTCTAGGAGGTTGATGAAATTGTAAAGGCAAAGGATGCTAATCCTCTAAAATAAAGCTACTTCTTTACGTTTTCTTTGTCGAATATGGTCAGAATAAACCCCACAGGTGCTGTATCACTCAGTCAAGTTATTAAAGCTCGAGAAGATGTAGATAAATTCTGCAAAATTCGACCAAAGAGTCAAGTGTGTAGCCAATTACATCAACGGAGCTGTAAATAATACGGCGGCTATTCCTATCATAATGCCTCATTTTTGTCAGTGACGTTTGTAGACATTACTTGGGAAAAATTTGATAAAAATACACTTTTTTTTAACGTCCCGGCTAATTGAGAGATTGCAGACATGGATGAAAATCCATGATATCGCTGTACCGACTGAAACCACAGAGATTGAAGACCTTGCGAAGCCGTGGCACGTCGCTGTTACTCCATGGTCTCCTCAACTTGCATAAAGCCTCCATTATTCCTCTTGGTTACTCCTCTACCTCGGTTGTTAGGAGGCATTGTGTGAACTACAATAAGTCGCCAGGGACGATCAGGAATTGCTGATGAATTTGCATCATAGAAGGAGGGGAGAATGTTGCCTACCGATGACGGTGTACACAGTAGATCTGATCAAGGCTTGTGAATATCTCGTCCTCTTCAAATAAGTCATATTGACTACAGGGTCAGTTTAGAGGTAGTGTTAAAGTCTATACAATGTTTTATACCCTAGTCGTATTTTGTGTAGAAAAATTTGCCTAAAAAAAGAGGGCGGAGTTACCTCTGATCCTGACGCAAGTGGTTGTGTTCAGAGATCCGTAGTAAGTATTCCCTGAAAACCATTTTGATCATCTTCCATCATTGGCCATTGCTACTGACTTGACATCGCGTTTCCACCTGAGTTTGTTGCTGAAAGAGAAGGGAAATGAACCATACTAGAGGCGTTCAAAACTTAGATATGTAGAGAAAAAAAGTGAAGACACTTTAAGGGATAAAAAACTGTAAAACAATTTTGATAGAGGATGAGTTATTGCTGTGGTTAAGCCATCCTACTCAAAGCTGCATTAGCATCTGGTGTGCGTGGTTATTCATGAATTCAGCGTGTTGCCTTCGCCGTTGCCACGGGGAGTCATCGCTTGGGCAATTTGGTCACACAGCAAGAAATATTCTGATGTGGCATTCCGCTTACTAAATTTCCTCAAGAACAATTCCTGAGTTTGCAGGTTGAGAACGAACACGACTAGGATCATCACTGCCGGCTGCATCAAAGATAACTCCGAGCTGGGAGTTAAAAGCCCTCTTTCTGGCACTCAAGGGACATTGTATTCTTAAATGGTGCTTTGGTGCGTCACCACGGACCCTGTTGGGTCTCCGATTCGAGCAGCCAAGATGCTAAGACCTCAGAATCGGAGGTTTGGAACACAGTGTATGTGTAGATGTCCGCTAGCCGGAGTGTTGAGATCTCGACCTTAAGGCGAGATCTGTGAAGTGTTTGTAGAACGTTCGAAAAGGAAGCTTCTCACCGCCGAAATAGAAACGCTTTTGCTGCGACTATGGACTTCACCAGCACCTTCTTCGCCACAGGGTACTGTAGGAATGACTACACTACCGTCTGGATCTACGGCACTCAAGTGGACTGTCCACGACATATACGCCGGCAGCACGTTCCGTAGTGCCCACGTGGCACTTACAACGATACCTCTTATCATCTCAGTAGCGGTGGCTTAACTTGACACCTATTTTATAAAATTTATCCTCTTTGATGCTCTTTGGCTATTTTTTGAAGGCTGAATGAGATCAATCGAAGATGGTGCGGCTTCCTTACTTAGCAGAGGGAAGGTTCTCCCATTAAGGCGTCGAATTTGACCGGCAGTGATGTTGGATGGAAATGCAACAGGCGGTACTATTAGCAACATCTCCAATCGACATCCATCAGAAAATGTTTATTTCATTGTTCCGACATTTTGTGAGCGAAATCACCTTTTTTCCTTCCTCTCCTGTGAAATTAATGCTGCTCTCTTGTAGAACCATTGACACCAAAGAGTGAATAGAAATGAACCAAAAATGTTTGGAACTTTCTGTTTCCTTCCCTTCGACCCCCAAGGAGCTGAATAGGCCGCTCAAGTGATTGATGAATGGCGGGAGAAATTTTTCACTCACATCAGCTACGCAGTACAGTTTTACTGTGGAAACTGCTTGCATTGAAACCCAACCCGTTCTTACTGCCTTAGGAATTTAAGAAAACTGCACCTAAAAATAAACCCTCTTGACTGAATTTCAGCTATCGCGTCTTGAATAGTCCCCAAAATAAGTAATAAAGCGATTTGCAGAGAATGGTAATCCATGTCGTAAATTCTAAGTAAGTTGACAGATTGTCATGCCACTTAGTTGGCACTTGAAACATACGGAGACCGCGGAACTCGCGAGGGTAAATGACAAAAAAATGAGAGTCAGCCTCCTGCTTACTCGTCTCCTTTCCCAACTGTGGGTCCTCCCTTTACATTTCAGGTATTTTATAATAATGCTACAAAAGTTAGGTTAATAAAGGAATAAAATACTAGGCTTTGCTTGGCCTTTTTAGTCCCAGGAATGGTGAGGAACGTAAGGCTTGATGCGGAGGAGCTCGGCATTCTCAAGTTGATGTGGGATCCACCATAAAAACCTCCGGGGAAAACCACAAGTACTCCTGGAGGTATTCACATCGAAATGAGCGAGATGACCTTAAAAAGGGAAACACCGGACACGGTCGTAATGCTTGAAAGAATAGCTTTGGGCATGCTCTCCTGCACTGTTCAGGCATTCAGCATGGTTGGCAGCGATCTAACGAAATCGGGGCCGGTTAGCCCATCCATTGCGATGACCGTGCCATCAACAGTCCTGCCGCCAGCTCCACCGGTAAGTATTCAACAGGTGGATGAAACAACCTTCAAGTTTGAATTACAAACTTCAAAAAAGGATGAAGTTCTTGGATCAGTGGTTGGCATGGATCAAGAATTGAACCTCTCTTTCTACGTGCAGCAAGCAGAAGGACCTATTTTCGTAAAAAAATTGGTAAGTTGCCTCATCCTTAATTACCTGGTTAGCTTATGACTTGTTTAGATTCATAAATAGCTAAGAGGTATTAATGTGAAGAGTAAGGCACTTTTGGCCACAATTCCTTCTGAGGAACCACAAACCTAAGGGCTGAGTGTACCGGACAAACTGGTTGCCTTCTCGCAAATTTGACACCCCATCGGTCCTACACACTGGACATATAACCCTTTTCCTCGTTGATTACAGCACCACAACTCATCACTTCACTACACCCGAAAAAGTTTGTTCGGTTAAGTTTTGTCTGCTACTACTAATAAAACCTGTCCCATATAAGCTATTCTAATGCAACCCACGTGAATGTTTATAAATAAAATGTCGTATAATGACAAGCCTTTAAAATTGCTTAAATACACTTTACGTCTTTACGGCAGTCAGTCAGTTTGCCAGCGCAAGAATCCACAAGTAGTGGAATCACGAGTGATCCCCCGGGCAGGAGCACCACCGCTCAGATTACACGTTCGACTTCCAATGTGTTAAGCTATTTTTTCTCGATAAAAAATAATATAAATAAGAAACGTTTGTTTTTTTTTATTTGATGATTTCTAGATACACATGCAACAACACCAATAATGCAAAACTTCCTTCCTCAAAGAAGGAGGTAGGTTTGTTTTAAAATGAGAAAAAAATTATAACGCAGCCGACCACCCCACTCAGTTTGCACTTTGCGTTCTATTTGTGAAACTGAGACAAATAACCCACACAGCAAAACGAGAGGCAATTTTAAGCGTTTACAAATCAGAAAAAAAACTCGCAGACTGAGTTTGGGCGACCCCCATCGTGGTCGTTACTAGATCCATTATGTTGATGACGCTCGTCGGAGCGGCCATTTGAAGGTTTCTGAGATGGTGCAAGACGAATATTCAAAGCATGTTTATGTAGGTTATAAATAGCAACTGCAAAGTGCTATTATACACTGTCTACCCCTTCACATAATTATCGCCCTTTTTATTTATTGTAGAGACTGTCCTGAAGATCAAATATCAGCTATCAGTGCACATACAGGTCGTTCAGTACAAAACAAACAATTGATTTGCCGCGGATTGTGAGCATTGCAATAAAATTGTTTGACTTGGTGGAAGGGAAATCCTGCTTAGTTGCAAATGTATCGCCCCCGTATAATGTCATAGTGGAATTCATTAAATAAACAAAGCGGGTTTTAAATACCACAGAGAACAAGACGAAGATGATGCGACACATCATTGTAATACTTAGTTTGTTTTGATGTACCCTTCAGGGGGAAGGCAAGCAGGAACTTCGAATCTCGTGACCGGATCGTCCTCTCCCGTACCTAGTGACTGCAGCTCCCCTCCTTCTTGAACATTGTATTTTCCCTCTCCATCTTGCCACCTTTAATAAATATGTTTAAAGCGAATCAATCGGGCTTGTCTAAGAATGCTAGGAATAGGGGAGCGGAGACCGATGAGTCTCGCTCCACATTATAATCAGTACAGATATGGATGAGGCGGTAAATATATGAAAATTGAGCTTCAAATAACTAAACCCTCAGTAGTTAAATACCAATTTGAAACAAATATTTTATTAATTTAAAATTTGTTACACATTATCAGGAATTAACAAATATGTTACAGTAAAAATCTTTGACTAAATTAATTAGGTGTAAACAATGTGATTACTTCGTTTTGCAGTCGAAAAATCGCACAACAGACCAGATTTTAACAAATAAGTTTAAATATTAGGCGCTTTTGCAGGACTTAAATAATTAACAGAAAAAAACTAAACGACATTTTGTTTTAGCTAGTCGAATTCCCCTGATTGTAATCTTGTGAGTCACGCGCTCTGTTTGGGCTTGTCAAATTAGGTCTAAATCAGGAATGAGCGCTGCAAAGGATGCTTCGGATCAGAATTTTGACTATATGTTCAAGATTCTCATCATAGGCAACTCCTCAGTTGGAAAAACTTCATTTTTGGTCCGCTACGCTGAGGACAGCTTTACATCCGCATTCGTATCAACCGTTGGAATTGACTTTAAAGTAAAAACGGTTTTTAGACAAGACAAGCGAGTAAAATTGCAAATTTGGGTAGGCTAAAATTTTGTTATTACTTGGGTTAGGATACTGCTGGTCAAGAACGTTATCGAACAATCACAACGGCCTATTACCGTGGTGCCCTCGGGTTCATTCTAATGTATGATGTCACGAACGAGGACTCATTTAACGCCGTTAGAGATTGGTAATCATCTAAAATGATCTAATTCTTCTGTATGCTTCACTCCTTTCAAATGGATGGATTATATCTAGTTTATAGTAACATCCATGCGAGATTTTATTAGTGCTAACTTTCGCCATTGACCAAGAAGTGTTTTTAGCTTTGCAGCTTTTATCCGAATACAATATGCCACATTTGCTTGTGAATATAATTGTAATTGGTCTTTGTCTGTAAATTGCTTTCGGTTTTTGCATATGATCCCTAAAATGTAGAGAATCTTCTAGGCTTTTAGGCTTTACACAGAACACTTTAGTTCCATTCTTAATTCATCGAACAACACTCCTAGCTTTTCCCATGGAACAGCTTTTGATTAACTATTTTTTTTTGAAGGGTTACACAGATTAAGACCTACTCTTGGGACAATGCACAGGTCGTCTTAGTCGGCAACAAATCGGATCTTGCCGCGGAGCGTCAAATAACAGCAGAACGCGGGCGTGCACTTGCCGACACTCTTGGTGATTTGTTTTTATGCCTTTCGGTTTTTAAATCATAAATGACTAACCTGTTCTTGCTTTATCCCTTAGAAGTTTTATTTGATTCGAGTAATATCATTAAATCTCACAGTGAGAGCATTACTTTTCTCCTAATGCTGCCTAGGCCATAAAATGAAAATTGCAGTGGAAAATCCTCATTTATGTACAAGATTTTAAATTAATTCGTACACACTCATACGAATGTAAGTCTCATATGTGCACACCTAATCACTCGCTTCTCGAAGCGTTGGCACTATTCTAAGGGTTGATTAATCATCATCAACGCATAGGCCTGAAGTTCTTTGAGACCTCGGCGAAAGACAATGTCAATGTGAAGGCTGTCTTTGATTTGATGGTGGATATCATTTTGGAGAAGGTGGCCGAAACCTCGGATCAAGACGGTGCAATGGCGGGTTCCAATGCTCCCGGAGGTGAGTCGTTGATTTTAAATGAGTGCTGCACAGTTTTTTTGTATTTTAACCCGCATCTCTCCTGTGTTAGCAACAGTAAAATGAGTCACACTTGAGACACGTTAGAGCCAACGTACATGCGTGTGTATTTGGTGTTAATTTTTGTGCGCGCAAACGGTGACAGGAGCAGAATTTGTCAAATATACCACCTATATTCTTGTACTTGTGACATAGTATCGACTCATCTGGTATATGAGCAGCGCAAATTCAGGCACTACGAAACAGAGCTTTGCATTCTGGACATACTATGGGTTGCGATGTTTGCTCTTTGCAATATCATTTTGCATCCAGGCGGATCTCCCACGTCCAGTTTATCCTACAGTTAGCTATTCAACAAACGACCACAATTTTCGATGGCTATTTTCCCGTCTCAGAGGCGACTAAAATACCTTTCATCTCTATTCATTTGCATCATTAAGTGAATCTCCATCCCAATAGTCAAAATTAATGGTTTACTAAACAAGACTTGGAGTTAACCTACCTGGACACTTGCACGAATTTCTTAAATTGCGAGGGAAGACTAGGGTTTGCTGATAGCTCAACAGACTTTTATGCATGCTCTCAAATCAGCACAAAATATCCTCTGCTTGTATCGAGGGGAAAGCGACAATTGTAACCCAATCTTCCTATCTATTCCTGACTTCAAATGGGCTTTTTAAAATTATTCATGTGGATGGATGGTCTTTGTAGTAAATTAGTCAAATGACAACCGAAGTGACTCGAAAATAGTTGCCTAGTGCATCATTTAATAAAAGTAGATGCCAAGATTTGTTTAACCTTTTTC